CTCTATTTTTAGTTTTTTAAGGGTCAGTGAGGTTGTTTTTTTAATAGACTTTTTTTTTTTTTTTTTTTTGCAGTACGCGAGCCTCTCACTGTTGTGGCCTCTCCCGTTGCAGAGCACAGGCTCTGGACGCGCAGGCCCAGCAGCCATGACTCACGGACCTAGCCGCTCTGCGGCATGTGGGATCTTCCCAAACTGGGGCACGAACCCGTGTCGCCTGAATCGGCAGGCGGACTCTCAACCACTGCGCCACCAGGGAAGCCCAATAGACTTTATTTTTTAGAGCAGTTTTAGGTTCACATTCAAATTGACAGGAAGGTACTGTGATGAACCCATATTGACATATAATCACCCAAAGTCCACAGTTTACATTAGGGATCACTCTTGGTATTGTACATTTTATGGGTTTTGACAAAGGTATAATGACATATATCCACCAATATAGCATCATACCGAGTAGTTTCACTCCCCTAAAAATTCTCTGTCCTCCCCCTATTCATTCTCCATTGTGTCACTTTTGTAATAAAAATATACAAATCTGGAAAGGAAAAGAAAAGAAATAAAGATATGGTTTCTGCCCAGAAGGAATTTACAGTCTGGGTGGTAAACAAGGACTCAGGCAGCCCTGGGATGGCTTAATTAACAGACAAACAATAAAATAACAGAATAAGATCTGATAGTATATGTTCTGTGGGGTACAGAATGAAGAATTCAGTCTGAGTCAGGTAGGGTTAATCAGAGCAGGGTTCCTGGAAGAGGGCAATGCATGGGCCAGGATATAAAGTATATTTGGAAAATGGCCACCATTTATGAATTTTCAAGGTGCCAGACCCTGTGTCACATATGTTTACATGGATATTTTCACGTATTCAGAATAACCCTATGAAGCAGATGTTATCCCCAATTTATGGACAAGAAAATTTAGCCTGAGAGAGCCAATTAACTTTTCAAAAGTCAAACAGCCAATACACCAAAAGGATGCAAAACCAGGCCTCTGTGATCCCAATCTCTGAGCTCAAGTCACCAGGCCACATTGCCTAAAGCGGCTGAAGGCAAAGAATGACCTTCTTCTCAGAGGAACAAGTAACTCAGGGAGCCCAAACTCAAACTGTGGCTGTAAGTAAATGCCATGAGAAAAGTCAGCATCACCCCCTTCCCTTTGGCTGAGCACATCTCAGCCCCATGGTCCTTGGAGAGTGCTTGGTAAGAAAATAAAGACAAAGATCCAGACTGTCTTTATCCCTGACAAGGTGCTTCCGTTGTGATGGAGGTGAAGAAGAACCTAGAAAGAAATGCCATGTGGCACAGGGGTACAGAATGATATTTATGCCCCTATCATAAAGCCATGTGTGTTCTGTGGCAATGAACTGTGAATGCATCAGCCTTCCCACAAGCCTGTGGACTCTCACAGGGCAGAGCCCACACCCCTGTTTGTCTGTATCCCCACAGGTTGGCCTCATGCCTGGCACTTAGCAGAGCTCCGTATTTGTGGAATGAATGAATAAACAAATGAATGAATGAATGTATAAAAATGTAAAAAGCTACACTCTTATATGCTGGTGTCCTGATCCATAAAATAGGACCAACCGGGGGCTTCCCTGGTGGCACAGTGGTTGAGAATCTGCCTGCCAATGCAGGGGACACGGGTTCGAGCCCTGGTCTGGGAAGGTCCCACATGCCGCGGAGCAACTGGGCCTGTGAGCCACAATTACTGAGCCTGCGCGTCTGGAGCCTGTGCTCCGCAACAAGAGAGGCCGCGATAGTGAGACGCCCGCGCACCGCGACCAAGAGTGGCCCCCGCTTGCCGCAACTAGAGAAAGCGCTCGCACAGAAACGAAGACCCAACACAGCCATAAATAAATAAATAAATAAAATTTAAAATTCACGACATATGTCAATATTTTAAAAAAAAAATAGGACCAACTATAGTCCCTTCATCTAGGGATTACTGTGATCATTAAATGGGCAAATGGTGTAAAGGATTTAGTTTAAGAAGTGTACAAGAGCACACACAATGTGATTGACGGTTCTGATTTTAGCTATTAGCACTACTGTTATTTGTGTATCCTTTAAAAGCTGGTCCCTCAGAATACACACCCTTTAAGCCATTTATTGACCATTTTACTAACAGCTTCAACAGGATTGGCAAGCAGAGTTACAAGTTTGTCTTCAGCAAGTATGCTTTCCTGCTCTGGATTCTGCCCACCTTTGCCACAGCTGTCTGTGCCTCCCCAGCCTCTATCCCAGGCCTTAACATGTCCTCATGGGTGGTGTGCCTACCTGTGCACACGCTCACCAGCATTTACCGTCCAGGGTAATTCACAAGGTTTCCAAGTGTTACCTCCCTCTCTCCACTTCCCCAAATTTATTCTCCAGTTTCCCATTTTTGTCAAGACCAGTTTAACTATGCCCTTTAGACTCAGTGACAGAAACAAGACCACCCCCTGGGCAGAAACAACTCACCCCATCATGGGTACTAGGTGTTCACATGTCATATTTGCATTTCCACTGGGGCCTTCTGTCCAGTGTCTTATTCCAAAGGAGAATCTGGGACAGTGGGACAAAAACCTAATGGTGCAAGCCTTGTCACAAGTCAGACCACGAGGTGGCGCCCTCATTGGCCCCCACCTAGAGCTAACCCACAGTTGAGAAGAGTCAGCATACTTATATGTATGGTTAGCACTTACCCGGATTATGGATAACCTTCTTTCCAAGTTAACCCCTCTCTGGTTTAACCCCGCACCAGGAACTCTGGCCATCTCCCCCCAGCCACCACCCCTGCATTGCCAAGCAGAGAAGTTGGAGGCTCCCTGTAACAACAAGCCGAAGCTCAAACAATCAAGAAGGGCAAGTGCTACAGGGGGGAAACTCAAGTGCAATCCAAAATAGGGATTCTTGTGGCATCTATGCCACAACTGTGGGATCTTCAGCCACTTTCTGGGTCTCGGTGTCTCCATCTGCCAAGCGAGGAGGCTGGACTTCGTGATTTGCTAAGATTTCTCCCATTCAGATGCTCTTCCTTCAACAAATGGATTCAAAGGTGATCCCAAAGACCAGGCCCTCAGGAAGCTCACAGTGTAACAGAGGAGATAAGACAGGAATACAAAAGTCACTGTACTGCAGGTGGAGTGGCTGGCTTAGGGACATGGTTTGAAGTTATGAAATGTTCTGTAAAGTATATTTGCATTTTTTAAAGCATTTACATACGTATATACAACAGGAAACAAATCTGAAAGTTTATGTACCAAAATGTGATGTCTCTGCATTATGGGTATGTGTGCTTTTAAAATATTTTTTCTTTCCTTTTTGCTTTTTAATAGTTTCTCATTTTTCCACAGAGGGTATGATTAATAGTATTAAAAACAGAAAAACAAAAAATCACGTTTCATATTCAAACAGAATTGAGTTTAAATCCCAGCTATATTACAAACATGCTGCATGGCCTGGGGCAAGTCATTTAACCTCTCCAAGTCTCAACTGCCTTGCATTTAAAATGGAATTGTTTTTAACTTAATATTGCCATTAAATGCTTTGGGACCTCAAATTCACAGGGATGAGTTAATCATGTTTCCCAATTCATAGCACCTCATTGTCATTGATCTAAGCCAGGCCTCTCTCTTACTTTATTGATTTATTTCCTTTTATTCCCATCCCTTATTCCCCTTTCCCTCTGCCTCACCCTTAGGCACCCATTTTGTATTTGATATGTATAATATTTTTTAACTTGAAAATGTTTTTGAAAATGTGTGTGGTTGGCTGTATCTTATAACAAAAGATATTATGTTATAAATCTCATTGTTTCCTACTTTTTTCACAAAGAACAATGTATTTAAGATCTTTCCATATTGCTTTTTGGACATGTCATCCAGGACTTCTGAGTACTGGGTAATTGCTGTGCTATGCATGTACTCCACTCTACCTTTCCATAATTCCCAGTGAGGGGCACCCAGGTGTTTTCCAAGTCTCTGTCACCATAAACACCACCCTGAGCGTAGTCGTACATGGCCCCCGATGGACCTGTGTGAAAATTCTTTGAGAGCTCTGCCCTGGAGCAGAATCGCTGGGTCAGGAGGTATCTGTATTCCTAATGGGATCAGAAAGTCTTCACAGCCTCTGCCCCCACCAGCAGGAGACTTCCCATGTCTCCACACCCTTGTCTGTACTTGGCACTATTGAGTTTTCTAATTTTTGCCAACCTAACAGATGTTCTATCACTCTGTGGTTTTCACTTTATTTGACTGCCTAATATTTTGAGCATCTTGGCATATGCTCATTAGACCTCGGGTTTCCTATTTTGTAAATTGCCTGTTCCTTTTCTTTGCCCACTATCTACTAGGAATGCTGTCTTTTTCTTGTTGACTTTCAGGAGTCCTTATATATTCTAAATATCAATTCCTTGACTGTCTTAGACATTGTAAATAATCTCCCATTCTTGCCCCATAGTTTATCTTTTTGAAGTGTTGAGCTGTTTTTCTTCACCTCTCCATCAATAAGATCATCCTTTATCTTGTCTTCTTTTACCTTATAAAGGTTTACCTTTCACCTTTAGGTCTTTAATACATCTCATATTTGCCATGGAAATACTTCATGGCATTTTGTGAAGGATAAAATAATACAGGTAAAGCGCCAATACAGTGCCTCAGACCCAAGAGCTGTACAATTGTGGGTGATTATTATTATCATTTGAGTAGAAAGTGGTAAGCACTGCCCTAGGAAATCTAGAGATACGGGAGTTTGAATGCTGTTTTAGCTAGATCAGAAAAGATTTTATGGGCAAAGGTTAAGTGATGCAGATTGGCCTGAAAAAAGAATGTAGGAGTCATTTATTTTGAGATGTAAAGGGCAGTATTCCAAGTAGAGGAACTGGCCTGGGCAAAGGC